TTGAGGTTACATATAGTACTACTTAGCTGATGCGTTTCCGTACGAAATTCCATGCACAGAGTGCCGCTACGCCATCTTTTAAGAAACAGCGAGAACTTATTCAAGGACCTAATAATTTTCGATTTGAAAAGACAATCGAAAATCGATCGATGCGCAATCGTTTGCAATTCAATCTTCCAGAACTGAAAAGTTCCCATTTCCGAAAGGAGGAAGTAGTCGATTAATGCATGCGACGGATATCGCAGTCACGATTTGCCGTTGAACCGTCTCGCTCGTTCCGCTATTAATCATCGAGCGTGGCGACTTCCCGATCGCGATTAATAACTCCACGATTATGCGATCCGTTCGTCCGTACGCGAGCATGTTTCGGGGGCGACACGCCACGAAATCGCAAAAAAGGCCACTAGTGCCTAAGAGAGCCAGGAAACGGCGAAAGTTTGGGCGGAAACGATAGAAAGGGAAAGTCGTCGATATAAAAATTGGCTTTCAAATGGCTAAAAAGTATTAAAAATCATGGAGAATAGAAAATGATTAAGTAATACAATAATTAGAAAATGTGTTTCTCGTGCGCTAACACGTGTTCTTCAGGAGACTCGAATCTTGCTTCAATTATTATTATTATAATCACTGCAATCATTCGTTGCATGCTAATTCGCGCAATTGTGTTTCATAAAACTGACCAGGACCGCAATTCGGTGTTAAATTAGCTTTAATCGTCAGCGATGGTGCAACGTGGGTAATGTTGATGTAATGTGGACACTTGCATTTTCAGGCCCGCAATTATACGCAGTTAACCCCAATGAATAGATAATTAGCTAATTTACGTCTCTTACGAGACACCATAAGTCACGCGTGTACTTCCGCAGTTGTAATAATCACGAAATTTGTGCAACGGAATGAATAAAATTAAACCGCCAACATGCAATGAAAACTACTTATCTCAAGTTATACTTGAAGCAAAAGATCAGTTTCAGTGAATTTTTTCGCTCGTAAAGATATTGTTACTAACGATATAAATAATTCAATTGAGATCGCGGGCAGAAACACTATCTCTTTTTCATTAGTTATTTAAAATTATAAAATAGAATTTGATAAATTTGATTTATTTTAAATCGACGTTATTAAATTGATAAATGCCGCAGTAAATTGGAAAATTGAATATTTATGCAAAATCTAAAATAGCACACGATTTGAGCATAAAAAATTCAAGAAAAAGATAAATACGTTTTATTCAATTATTGTTGTATGTGAAAAATTGAGAGCGCAAAAATTCTTCCAATAAAATATAAAATTTAAAATTGTTTCATAGTTAAAAATTGATGTAATCTGTTTTTCTATATATAAATTTATTGATTGCAACCGATAAAGTATGACTGTGAACGAAACTTGCTCCGTAAGCTGCGTCACAATTTCTCAGACCGCTTGTCCGGCCTTTCTGTGCGCATCTATCTATTGATTATTACGATCAAATGATCAACCATGCCGGCGAATAACGGGCCCCGTCCATCAATCATATATAACACATTCGATAGCGCAGAGAGGTCGGATATCAAGCCGACCACCAAGTTGCAATTAACACAATTTGATTCGACCGGTAGCTGTTGCTTCGACCAATTAAAGCCGGGAAATTTCAAGCGTGTTAAACGTCAATATAGAGTTATTTACGACATGAGCACTTCTTAATTAGAATCGAGAAATAAATTACTGGTAAATTTTAGCACAAAAGTTCGTTACTTCTCGTGTATAAAAGAGATATTTCTGCCGGCGCTTGACAGATAGAAACTTTCCGACTTCAATTAAGACGCGCATCTCGCAAGGATCTTCATTCCAAGTGAATGCATCAAAATTAGTGTATATTCATAAAACGCACCATGAAATTAAACGGCATAAAATATACTAAGAAAATGTGAGTCGAGAAAATCTTAATGGCGAAATAACAGTCCCAGTGAATTATTAGGATCGCCAGCGCGGTTGACAATTACACTTTGATGACGTTCGACACGCCGACGCGCTATCTGCGATAATAATCTACATCATCACACTTTTCCTCGTTTTAGAAAGAAAAAGATTAAAGCGCGCAAGAATCAGGAACGAGAGCGAGTCACTTTTACCACGCGTTGTTTCACATTTCGCTCAATATTTTTCTACCGTATTTAAACATATATGAATCTTCCGGCTTATTAAAAATTTATTTTTTCACCATATAAAATCTAGAAAACTAATTAAACATAATGTTTGAAAATTATATATTTTAATACTTCAAATATTTTAATACTCAATCTTCAAATCGCTTAAAAAAAAAGAGGCTTCTTATCGAATTATAATCTCGAAATTTATTTCGCTGAAAGTTTTTCAGTTTTGACCCAGTTTGGAACGTCAATATTAAAATTGCGAAATCTCCGGCGGAGAAAAAGTTGAGAGAGATAAAACGAAAGATAATGTAGTCCATTTTGTATGAGCATCGCGTACTAGAAGACGTATCGGATAGATATGTGTCAGCGATTTGAGATACGAGATTGCGAGAAACTCTCTTGTATGCCATTAGATTCGCTCGCCTAGGAATCATATCTCAATCCATCAATTCGTGATGAAAAGATGAAGCTGGAAGTTGAACGGCGATCAACCGTCTTAAGACATGTAACGGTGCGCTCACCGTTGACAGATCACTTCCGCACGGACTTAAAGTCACGTGAGACATTTCATCGAGGTCGCGTCAGTACTTATCGATCTCAACATTTCATGATACAAAATTAAAAGAAAAGTGTACACGTGTTATATTTATTGAATTAAATTAATAACAATTATTATTAAACAATATTCTTTCAGGAACTAATTCGAGAATAGGAGTTGCAAACAAAGCGGCTGAGAGACACTGATGTCTCTCGGTAAAGAAACAAATTACCTAGGCATCGCATGTGTGATTTTATTTAAGTCACGTGCCACAGAAATTACAGCCCGCGT